CACATCTCCCAAATAATCAACACATCTCCCTATCAATAGGAATCCAATGTTTTTTGAATTATTCAAATCGGTTGATCCGTGCGCCCGAAATGTGGATGAAAAATTGTATCCGTACATACAGACACACACACATTCATTTTTTCTGTGGTATGCCAAAATGTTCAGATACCTTCAAAACGTGAAGAAATATAAAAAATTTCAATTCAGATTTTTGGACGACTACAATAACTTACCCTACGCACTGGAAGTTAATAATAATTGTTAATTTCCGTAGTGTAAGTTATAGTAATCGCATAAAAAATCAAAAATGAAAATTTTTGCATATCTTTACATTTCGAAGGTTTCAGAACATTTTGGGGTGCATTAGAAAAAATTGATGTGTGCATATTTGGGTATATGCATATATGTTCGGATACAAATTTTCGTCCACAATTTCGAGAGCATAGATCAACCGATTTGAATGATTCAAAGAGCATTCGATTCCCATTGATAGAGAGACGTGCTGATTAGTTTTTTTGCAAAGGCAGGTTTCGAAGATACGGGATAAAAAGTGCCAAGAATAACAATTCAGTTTTGAGAGAATGGAGAGTCAAAAAGTGCCAAAAATAACAATTCAATATTTAAGAGAACGCAGCATCTGTTTTCGGACGTTTGAATTTTGAATAGATATTTATCTATAGATAGATTAAGACATTTTGGTAAAAATATGAGCAAAAAATAACATTAATCTAATAATAAGGAAAGTCATATATCTGCACAACTTAATTTAATTAATTGAAAAGGCTTAATACTGGAAAACTTTTCTGAATTTTAATTCAATATTTTACATATATCATCAAAAATGCTGTTTTTTTGTAAAGATAGACAAAAAATTATTTTTAAAAATCTAGTGGAAGGGTTATAAAATAGTTATAACAAAAGACGTATAGCATATCATATTCCAATACCAAAAAATTTATAAATTATCAAATATTTTATTATAATTTTTAAATAATACGAATTATTTTTATATATCTATTACAATAACTGTAGCTAACCTGCAACCATCCGGGTGTGCTCATTGATTTTGATGCCGGAAAATAAATTCATGGCCATCCAGGAACCCACATTTCGCACGATCAATAACTTTAGGGTTGCATATAATATACAACTATATCGTACTGTAGGTACAGTCTGTTGTAGTGATGGGCGTCGGATCGAAAAACACCTTTTTAACTTTCCGTGGGGTAAGTTGTAATAATAGACCGAAAATCAACTAGTGGTGCATAGTATCGTGCCTTAAGGCAAAAAAAATCAGTAATCAATAAATATTAATCAACGATTAATAACAATTGTTTTAAATATTTTCAAATAGATAATTATAAATACTATATATTTCATCGCTCATATTATATAGCAACGATCTAATTTCATAAAACACTTGAGAATGTTTACATTAATATGCCGAATGAATCTATCTGAGGATGTATTTCTTACGATTTGAATAACGCATATGGAATATATACATTTTTAAAATGAATAGTAAATTTAAAATTTAGGGGTAAGTCCCGTAACGCCGGACGGCACCTAATACCGGACACTCTATTTAACACGTATTATTTAAGCGTAAAAATCTTTTCATTTCAAAATACAAGTGATGAGGGCATGGGGGGCACACAGGTACAGGATCACCCACCAAGACTCACCTGTGACGCACACGGCCACGGCGGGAGCAACCCTTTGCTGTTTTAGGCGCAAAATCACGGCGTCACCTAAATATCAATTAAGTAATTCTAGTATATATATATATGCATTTACATTTGGGTGGTATGCAAAGATAGAAGTAGTATTCGATTGTTATCCGTAAAATAGTACAATATTATTAGATCTTTTAAACAATTTTAGTAGATACCACCAAATGAACAAAAATGCCTGTCCCTTAGCGCCGGACACTAAGCGCCGAACAGTAAACATACTGATATTTTTGTGAAAATTTACGTAATTTATTTTAATTATTTAATTTTGTTCTGTATGAGTGCTAATGGTCACTACATAGCCCCATTTTTCGTATTTCTTAGTCAAAGAATAAAAATCTTATGATGAATGCTCCAGCTGAGAGCATCAGTGTGGCCCAGTCAAAAGGGTGGATGATTAGTGTTTTTTTGCAATATCTAAGAATACACACATGTGCAGACACTCCAGAGTGTGGAGATAGCTACCTATGTGTTCAATACTGGTTATTTTGAAATGTCCGGTACTAGGTGCCACTTTGTAAAATCATATTTATTGTCACCAAAGTTTGATTGATAGTATTAATTATTTTTTAGCAAATGTTGCGTTTTTGTTAATTTAGTTTGACTTAGTTTGAGTCTAATTTTGTTATCTAACATAAGTCATAATTTAATAAACATTTCGTGAAATATTTTTTGATTTATTTATAAATAACTTTAGGTGTCCGGCACTCGGGGACTTCCCCCTATATTTAAAGTATGAAACTTTGTATATTTTTGAAAATTTTGAAAAAAAAAAAACAATCTGAAAATTTTGATATTTGTTTGAACAGTACAAGTGAGCTTTAAAAGTCAAAAATCTTGGATACAAACCCAAAAATAGTAACAAAATAAGCACTAATAATTAAAAAATTTATAAAATAACTGATAATTCGATTAATATATGTCTAATAATCATTTTTGACCGTCAAATATCATTTCTTCTTTTACTTTTTACTCTGTATCTCCAAAACCGATGGACCTGCTTTCCAAAAATTCAAGAATATCTCCATTTTGCCAATACAAGCAAAATGTTTTTTAATCATTCAAATCAGGCACTCCGTTCTCTCAAAAACTGAATTACCGTTTTTGGCACTTGAATAATTCAAATCGGTTGATCGTTGATCCGTGCGCCCGAAATCGTAAATTGTATCCAAACATACATACGGATCAAAGTAAGATACTTTGCTGAAGAAACCAAACCTCTAGAATGAATTCTGATGTCCCGTGCATTGACCCAAAAATAAGGGTTAAATGTTGAATAACCTCTTAGGTGGGGAACCAGGGGGTGAACCACGAGCATGGGTGGATTGGCCTTCCAAAGTTAGTGGGGGTCGGTCATACATTTGGACGCGATTGGGACACTCTAAATGGGTCAAAATGGAATTTTTCAAATTTCATTCCTTATCTTTGGGTCAATGCACGGGACATCAGAAATCATTTGAGAGGTGTGGTTTCTTCAGAAAAGTATCTTATTTTGATCCCCAGTATCCGAAAATCATGTGTGCCTAAGCTAAGTAAAGATATGCGAAAATTTTCATTTTCTTTTTTTTCGATTACTATAACTTACCATACGGGATGTTAAAAATGAAAGTTTCTGCATATCTTCACATTTCAGAGGTTTCTGAACATTTTGGCATATCCCAGAAAAAATGAATGTGTGTGTGTTTTATGTGTCCGCAATTTTTCGTCCACGTTTTTGGGCGCACGGATCAACCGATTTGAATGATTCAAAAAACATTAGATTCCTATTGATTCCAAGGAGAGGGAGGGAGATTGATTCCAAGATAATTATGTACTATGTACCCTGCATTATCTTTTAAATATTTTACTATAAAAATGAAGATGTAACGATATAGTATACTGATAAAACTATTCAAATTTGCTTTATGTAAAAAATTTTTATTCTCATTTAAATATTAAGTAACAAACATTTTGCAAAATATGTCATATAAATAATATTTACTATTCTTAGTAAAACCATTTGAAAAATATAACAAATAGGCACTGACAGGAACACAGAGGTTGTGATCATTAATATGTATAGAAAATAATTTATGAATTATTATGCCATTCCAGGACAATATTAATAAAAATCTATTTTTAATTTGATTTATTACATATAAATTTGTAACGCTCATTATGGCACTTACAGGCATAAATACATTAAATTAAATGAAATGTAATTTTTAATTATTAAGTAGCATTGAAGTAATTTGAAATTCATTGAAATTCCTGGAATAATCCATATTCTAAAAACGTTTGAAATAATACTGCTGAAAAAAGTTGTTGGCTTATTAAATCTACACTAACCATGAAAACCCATAAATTTCAAGAAAATCTTGAAATTTTTTTAGCAACACTTCGATTTAAATAATTTACATCTTAATTTCTCAAAAACTAAACATTATTATAAAGAACAAACAATGAGTAACAAACAACGGATAAATAACTAATTAACAAATTTAAAACCTTATAATTGTAGCATCAATTGCAATTTTCAAATATTTAATTTTAATAATTTAACTTTACTCTAAAAAGGTATGCAAATAAATTAATAAAAACGTACAAACGAAAACACACCAGAATTCGAAAGCACTGATTGCTTTAATATCTTCAAATTAAAATTATATATTTTCAAGAATACAACCATCTAATGGATTTATTTGGGATAAATAAATATTACTCCTACTTTACATACTCATTTATATATGCATGCATATTGCATACATGCATATGTTTATATCTAAACATTCATACATACATACAGTGGCGACGGAACCGTGCGGGCAATGCTGAAAATATGAGATTTTCTACAATGTCTTAAAAAAAAATAATAATAAGCCCACTGTCTCTCTAAAAAAAACGAGCCCACCCATCAAAAAATTGCTTTCGACGCCACTGCATATATATATATATATATATATATATATATATATATATATAGGGTGTTGAGATTCAAACAATGAATCCAAAATTATAATAAAAACCACATAATTCTTGAAGAAAATTTTGAATTCTTTGTTCGAAGTTCAATACAAACATACACATCTAAGACCCATTAATCCAAATATACACACATAATATATATATATATATATATATATACAATGTATATATTGTAATTTTATATACATTCACAAACTATAAACAATGATTTTACCTATATATGTATAAAGATTATACTTATATAGTTAAAATACAGTTTATATAATTTCACAAATTTAATAATATTTAAATATTTTTAGCGCCATATAATATCTTCATTAGAATAAAATATATATTAATTCAATAAAAAAAAACAAATTAGTTAAGAATAATTATCAAAACCATCTAATCACTATCCGGAGGAACGTAAAAATCATCATCGTCTCCACTAAAATCAGGTTCTTCTTCACTATCAGAAGTAAGATCCGCACTGCTGCTTGTAGGTGAATTAAGTCTTGTTCTTTTCCTTTTTGGACGGCCTATTTAAATCCATTATTGCATTGATAAAAATTTGTGGCAAAATTATTTTATTCTAATTATTGTGTATTGTGTAGTATTATAGGCCTCTGCAATATCTTTAAATCTAGAATAACGGTGACAATCTGGCATTGACACCCTAACTATATGGATATTTATTTGAATAGAAATTTCCAAAATTCAACAAATTCAATTAGTTTTACAACCAAATAAGATATACTAACTGCAACTTCCTTTTGATAATCAACAATGTAATCCTCTTCTTTCGAAATTTCTAACATTAGAATTCACCTTACAAAATAGAACTTTTGTTGTTCTATGCACTGCTAACTGAGCATTACTTATTTTGGTCAAAAAAATCACCAATATTATCATATAACGCCATATAACATATTCCTCATATAACATTTACAACTCGTATAATTTCACTTTATTTTTTCTGCTTGAACTTCTCTATAGCGGTTCTAAAAAACGCGCCCTAAGCGAGAAGCGTATTATGCGAGATAGTAAAAAATGAATCGTACTACATATATGTATTACATTCTATTTTTGATAGATATAAAGTGGTACCCCGACATACGAGTTTAATTCATTCCGTAACCATGCTCGAATGTCGAATCGCTCGTATCTCGAAAAAAAATCCCATATACATACATTGAAATGCCATTAATTCATTCGAGCGCTGTGGTTTTTGTAAAGTGTATTGAATATTAAAGATAAATTAATAAAGATTAATAAATTTACTTTTTATTAATATATTGTGGAAATGAGATGAACATATTTCGTTGAACAACTCCCATGCTCTACCTGTTACCACTTTTTGGTTTGATTTATCCACAATCTCTTATAGGCCAGAAAACCCTTTATCGACTCTTGTTCAAACATAGTACAGATCTATGATGTGGTACACTCTTATATCCTTGCCATACTCATATTTTTCAATAATTTTAATTCATTCAAGACATGACCCTGTTCTTTGAACCCATAGTTGAATAATATTAAATAGAATAATATTTTTTAAATGTACAAAAAGCAAAAAGTCAAATTCAAATATATATATATATATATATATATATATATATATCAAATATATATATTAGGAAAATCGGTTTGGACTTCCTTAGGAAAATTGTTGTCTTTTTTATTCATATTCATTTTATTGTTCTCAGACAGTTTAATGTAACAGATTCGTTTAGATTTACATTCAATTTACGTTAAAACCATTTAAAAGTGATATTTTTTAATTTTTGTGGAAAAACCAAAAAAAATCAATCAAGACGTTTTTAATCAATATGCTGGCCTTTCGATCGATGGCCCCACCAATTTTTAAATAATGATGCATTGAGTAAAAGTTAATTTGAGTTCAAAAAAATAGTTAATGTAATTCAAAGTAATAATTTGTAACATTGAACATTTTACAATATCTCAAAAATTAACATATTTGTACAATAAATAAATGAGAACTTAAAGGTGACGCTCAAAAATCATTCTTAAAATGTTTTTCTATATCAATATGTACATTAAACTGTCTGTGGGGAACGATAAATAAAGTGACGTAATAAAACGATTTTCCCAAGTGAGGGTAGTGAATATATATATATATATATATATATATATATATATATATTGAACTTTGAACCCATAGTTGAATAATATTAAATAGAATAATATTTTTTAAATGTACAAAAAGCAAAAAGTCAAATTCAAATATATATATATATATATATATATATATATATATCAAATATATATATTAGGAAAATCGGTTTGGACTTCCTTAGGAAAATTATTGTCTTTCTTATTCATCACTTTATTCATCGTTCTCAGACAGTTCAATGTAACACATTTGTTGAGAATTACACATTCAATTTACGTTAAAAACATTTACAAGTGATATTTTTTAATTTTTGTGAAAAAAACAAAAAAAAATCAATCAAGATGCTTTTAATCAATATGTTGGCCTTTCGATCGATGGCCCCACAAATCTTTAAATAATGATGCATCGAGTAAAAGTTAATTTGAGTTCAAAAAAATAGTTAATGTAATTCAAAGTAATAATTTGTAACATTTGTACATTTTACAATATCTCAAAAATTAACATATTTGTACAATAAATAAATGAGAACTTAAAGGTGACGCTCAAAAATCATTCTTAAAATGTTTTTCTATATCAATACGTACATTAAACTGTCTGTGGAGAACGATAAATAAAGTGACGTGATAAAACGATTTTCCCAAGTGAGTCTAAACTTTTGCAGGAAAGTGAATATATATCAATATATATACATAGTTATAATTATATATAATCACTATTAATCACAATTTAAAACTTTAAAGTAATCCTCGATATATTCCCTTGGGTAAATTGTTACTATCGAATTAATATTAATATACAATTAAAATGGCTGACTATAAAATAATTTATCAATATATGGCAGTCAAAATATTTCTATGGTAAGAAAATCATTGAGTAAAAGTTAATTTGAGTTCAAAAAAATAGTTAATGTAATTCAAAGTAAAAATTTGTAACATTGAACATTTTACAATATCTCAAAAATTAACATATTTGTACAATAAATAACTGACAAAATTTTTCATACTTTCATTTAAAATTTTCTAGAACTCTTACTCGCTCAAAGATCATATCTGGAATATTGCTCATATGTCAAAACAACGAATCGCTCTTTTGGCGGCTCGTATCTCATATACTCGTAAGGCAGGTCGCACGTAAGTCGGTGTACCACCATATAAACCATCTTGTGTCACTGTCTTCGATTTCCCAGCGACTTTACAGTACACAATAGTTCTATTGCAAAGTTTAAAATGATCTCTCCAGGCTTAATTCAGTGATTAAGCTACTATTGTAGCTTGATAAAACTAATATTGTTAAAACTTTTTCTAATTTATGACACTTTAGATTCGTTATCATGTTACATAACACAGAAATTTGTAAGTAAAGTTCAGCAGCTAACTGAGTTTGATTTGCTGTTTGTGATATTTTATCAAAAAATTTCAAACCCCAATTTTTTTTTAAGTGCCAACGTCATTCACTTGAAATGAAAAATATCGGCGTACCGTAAATATTTGTTTGTACCAAATTGTATTGAATAAAAAAAAAATAACTGTTTCTGAACAACTTTAAGTTTTTTCTAACTAACCTGAATAAAATATTAAACAAACAAATTCATTTTTGTTGAAATTTTTTAAATTTTGAGCTAACAGAGCATTCCAATGGCATGGAGTTATTATTTATTCGCTATTAGTTCTTTAAATATTGTAATAAATTGAGTCATGCAATAAAACTATAAATCTGTAAAAATATCTCTCTCTAATATAAATAATCAATTGTGTTAGGAAATATTTTAATATATGTTTAGAGTAACATATATTCTTTTTTATTATTTTGACTAACAGAAATAAAATCTGATTATTCTGATACAACAAAAGAGCAAAACTATCAATATACAAACAAATCCTAACAACTTTGTAGCAATTTACGTAGCTTTATGTTTTATGATACTTCTTAAAGGTTATTCATGTTTTAATTACCCTTACATCACTATTAAACCCTTTATCACTATTAAACCCAAACATAATAACATTTATAAAATTATTTACTGGTGATAAGTAAAAGTTTAGTGTAAACAATATTGATCAAAAATTATACAAAGAAGAAAATTAAAAGGAATACAAAATCATAGGTACCTGCAATGCCTAATTGTGTATGTTTCCTATCGCGGAAATGTTGAGGATTCTTTCGATAACACATTTGACCATAACGGCATTCAGGTGCATTATCATTAGGCACTATACTAAATAAATGCTGATTTGCAGGGAGTGAAGTTGTAGCTCTATAATCCGGATCACCAGGATGAGCAAATATTTCACGATGAGTATCATTTCTTCTAAAAATTTAAAATCATGTTATATATTTGTAAAAAAATCAATTTCAAAAATCAAATTGTTTGCAAGATTTAAAAAGTATTAAAACATTTGCATATGAAAGTAGTAAAGTAAGATAGCAGTAACATGAGGAATTTTAGATTAAATGTTGCAAATTTCAAAAAAGTAGATTAAAATTCATATATTAATCAAGCAATCTCTACCAGATCAATTTATGTAAAATATAATAAACTAATTTATGTAAAACTAAAATGCTGACCATTATATGGTATTATATGGTATGGTATGGACCATTTTAATTATGTAAATTCAATTTTTTTACCGATAACACTTTTCTGCATAGCGACAGGCAGTTCTAAGCTGACTTGAGCTGGCGTTTCCAATTTGCTGATAAGTGGTACTATCAGGCTGATTTGCTGTGCTATCTGCACCCATTTCAGTATTATCAGAGCTAGAAACCACATCATTAGAATGAGTAGCTACAGCATCAGAACTGGACACATCAACATCCTTATTTGATGTTACTGAACTAACTTTATCACTTGATTCAGGTTTGCTATTTTCTATAGAACCATTTACTGAACTTTCAATCTAAAATAAAAGAGTTTTAATAACAACTTAACCTGGTTTATTAATAACTAGTGTTTAAAGCATTAGTTAATAATTAATTTATTTTATCCACAAAATGAATACATCAAAATGCAACATGAACTTATTGATTCGATAAGTAGTAGTAGTATAAGTAATTTGTTAAAACAATTTAATAGAATGGTTACATATAAAACTTCCACATTATAAAAATTAGTGCAGTAGTAAATTACTTTTTCTTTCAACTTATTTTTGTTCTAGATTAGGAAAAAGGGCATAGGTTCCAATGTTTACTAAAGATACAAAGTTATTTTCAAAGGTGAAATCTGAGAGTTTTTGACAAGCTAATTTAACATTGTACCATTGAATAAATTTTATGCATTTATATAAATATATACATTTTCATCTGAGGGCATTCTGTCTCCTGCACAAGAATTATCCCCATGAGAATTATTAAAAACTCTCCGCTTCAATGCAAATGGATTTTCAGAACTGTTATTTGAACCCAAAGAGTTTGACGTTTTAGGTTCTTCATTAACACTTTGCACCGCATTAGAATTTGGCGAAGACATTATATTTATTTAGATATATAAAAAGTTATATGAAAAAGACTGATGAATTATTTCACATTATTATTTTGTTCGTTTTATGTGAACATATTAAAACATATCAAATACTATTCGTTTATGTTGATTATTTTTGACATTACCGCTGTTACTTGAACTTGGTTGTGAAAGGCATTAGCAATGCCAAATCAATAAATATTGAAGCGCGAAATTTAAATTATGGCGAAATTCTAAAATGAATTATTTGCGTATAAAGTTTCTTCCTCAAATATCTTAATTAAAATAAAATAGTTTCGTGTAAAATCAACCGATTTGAATCATTCAAAAAACATTTGATTCGTATTGCTAGGGAGATGTGCTGATTAGTTTTTGCAAAAGGCAGGTTCAGCCGTTTCGGAGATGCCGAGTAAAAAGTGCAGAAAATAGAAATCGAGTTTATGAGAAAACGGAGCATCCGATTTGAATGATCCAAAAAACATTCAATTCGTAATGACGGGTAGAAGTGGTGATTAGTTTTTGGTAAAGGCAGGTCCAAGCGGTTCGGAGATACCGAGCTAAAATTGCAATTTTTGAGAGAACTAAAACATCCGATTTGAATGATTCAAAAAACTTTCTGCTTGTGTTGACGAAACGATTGATTTTGGATTTTTTTTTTATTTCCAGAAAAAAAATTTTTTTTTGAATATCGAAAGTAAATCGAATTTTTTTTTTTTTAGCTAATGTTTTAAAGCTTAATGATATATTTGCACTATAGTTTATATAATTCTTATAAATATTATACAATGTCCTTCATTATAAGTTTGATTGATTGAATTTTGTTTATTTACTTATAATAATATTATTGAAAACATTCCATATTCCTCAAATTTTTCATTACATTATTTTTGTTACAGATAATTCCAGCAATTTGCTTTAAGGCACGATGCCATTCACCACTAATTTTTAATTTATTTTACCAAGAGAGCAATAGTATATTCATCAATTACGAAAAGTTTGCTTTGTTTTTATTGCCATTTCTACCATGAATTATTTAATATAATTAATTAATTTAGGTTTTCCCATTAGTAGAAAGGATTTTAATATTCCATTAATTGTCTTAATAAATTTTATCAAAACCCAATATAAAACAATAAAATAATTATAACAAATGCTCATGAATGTGTTAAACCTATGGAGTAAAAGTATTTCGAACACAACAATACATATAAAAGAAATAGTAATTTCACTTTGTCAAGAATGTAATTCCGTATCTGCAAAAAAATTTAAATAGATAATTTATTTATGTTATACCTTTAATTATCTAAAATAAAATCTTGGAAATAATTAAATTAAATGTATTAATATAATTAAGTCCAACATTGCATATTTTTGATTACTATAAAGTGTAACTTTATGTTATTCGAATTTATGTGTAACTATACTGCCTTACTGTTACAGTTTTTGTGCATGAGGAAATGCTTTTTTTTTTTTAATAAAACCACAAGTTAGATAATTAAGTAAGTGTTCATTATATAAAATGCAGAATTACAATAAATATTGATAAAGTATGTACAAAAACAACTTGATTTCTAAAACTAGTTATAAATTTAAAATTAGATTTATAAATCTGATTCTTTATATTTGGTATTTGTATGTAATTGTATCTATGTAAATTATTACCTATATATACCCATTTTAATACAATAATTGCAAAACAAGTTCATGTTTCTTCTAAAGAACATGAACAAAAATATTAAGTTCTGGATAATAAAAAAAAAACATCACAAATAATAATAGTTAGCTTCATCTTTTTGAGCTGCCTTCACCTTCAACATCTAAAAATAAAAGATAATAATTATTAAAATTTAATTAAAGACAAAAGTAGTCTTTAAATAAACTCAATAGTTCTGTTTCAATCAAAATGATCAATGTCAAATCAATATGGATATGTCAAGTCAGCGGGAAAGTGATATTGCAAAACTTTTTTTTGAAATTTCGAACTATTCATGAATTAAAAGTAGACCAGGAATATTGCATAATTTAAATTATATACATAATTATGTATTGGTAGTAAAAGAAGTATGGTAAAAAAAATAAATATTGGTGAAACAAGTCATGTAAAACTAATATGACAAAATACAATTTATTGTACCTCTTTTAGTATTCAAAAGGTAATTTAAGGGGTTAAGGATACTTGGCATTTTTGAATAATGATCCGATGAACTTTTTGAGTTATTGGACTCTAACCAGCAGGCTGAAGCAAGTGAAATAGTCTACACTTATACTCAAGATTATTCTCCCTTATCTCTTGATGTTTTAAAAGCTATTAAACCAATTTATGACGATCTCAGCAATGATAATTTACTTTCAAGATGTGTATTTCAAGATTGAATCCATAATCACAAAAAAATTGAGAGCTTCAACCAACTGTGTGAAAATATGCCCAAAAACCGTGAATTCTAGTTCTACTATCATAGAAATTGCTGCATACATATACATAATCATTATTATTGATTATGGATACCCTAAGAATTGTGAGTATAATTCCCATTGGTATGCTGAAATTGGATGCTGCACGTGTGAAAGAGGCATATCAGCGCGCTACCAAGAATGCTTCATAGGCAACAGCAAATAGGAAATATGGAACTTCCACAATGACTGATGAACTATTTTATAGGCCCAAAATAGATGACTTGGTTTATTCATAATTCGTATTTTTGTATGTAAATACAATGTGAAACTTTAAACACGTTTTTCTCAATACTATGTTTTTTGAACTGGTGACAACTGTAACTCAAAAACCGTTTAGTAGATTTTAATGAAATTTATACAGCTTTTAGTATATATAATAAACTGGGGTCTGATCAAAGGATTTTTATGTTTTCAACAATTGAAATTTTTTAAGACCAATCAACTGTTAATTTTTTCAAAAAATCTAGAATTTTTTTTTTCTGATGCTGCCATTTTGTTAATTTTTGCAAAAAAAAAAGAAAAGCTTCACCTCCAAGACCGGTTTTTTAAACTGGGTCAACAAAAACAGCTATAACTTTGGAAATAACTTTTTTTTTCTGAAATTTTTGTTACTTCAAGTCAAAACAAAGTATAATAATGCCGTATTACTATTTTTGTAAAGAAAACATCGTTTAATAACAAAAAAAATCCTTAAAATTCTCATTTTTTTGTGCCGTTGAGTACCCCTAACCCTTTAAGGGATAACAGGTGATAATTTTAATATAAAGCATTTGTTGTATTTAATTAATTACTTATGAAGTTTGCTTCATAAATAGTTAAATGTTAATTAAATTAAAATTAGACATCAAAAATATTGTCAAGTAATGACTTGCGTAAAATGAAAAGTATAAGAGAACTTGATATTACACATAATATTTCTCTGTATATAAATATAGATATAAATTGGTAATACATACTCTTTCCATCACAGGCAACAATCTTAACTTTGTCTACACGAGCAACTTCTTGGACTTCTCTAAATTCAACATCATTGAGCATAAATGTCCAGACATTGTCACAGAATCGGTAAGTGTTCAGTTTTGAAGCTTTGAACGTTAATCTAGACTTAACCCTATTGCAAAGGGCATGATTTATGCATTTGTCGAATTGGAGTAAAACTCGAATAGCTAATTGTGGCGTTATCTGTCCATACTAAAATTGAAATATATCAAAAATAAGCAATATTTATTAATACGCACTAAGTTATGAATATAATTCGTGGTAATTGCACATTGTTCATGTTAATGTGATTAATATTACGGGCGTACCTGGATTAATTCGTCTAAGCTCTCTTGTAACGTATTTCCTAAGGTTGTATTTCTATACAGCTGATAAGACATATTAACTGTATTTATTTACTAAACTAAATTCTCATGAATGGACGGCCATTAACGAATTCGTAATTTGTACAATGAAACAAAACTCCTGCCAAAGCCGAACTCGTGCAGTTGCAAATGTACAAGTAAACAGTGTTGCACTATGCGACAAAAAAATTCGATGCAGTTTACAGGGGTTCAAACCCTAAAATTTACTGGAGGCAGATTTAAACTAGCGCACAAGAAAACATAAGATTGAAGTTTTTTTGGATGTTATTATTCAACAATCTTAACTTTGTCTACACGAGCAACTTCTTGGACTTCTCTAAATTAACATCATTGAGCATAATGTCCAGACATTGTCACAGAATCGGTAAGTTTTCAGTTTGAAGCTTTGAACGTTAATCTAGACTTAACCCTATTGCAAAGGGCATGATTTATGCATTTGTCGAATTGGAGTAAAAACTCGAATAGCTAGTTGCGGCGTTATTGTCCATACTAAAATTGAAATATATCATAAATAAGCAATATTTATTAATACGCACTAAGTATGATATATTCGGGGTAATGCACATTGTTCTGTTAATGTGTGTGATTAATATACGGGCGTACCTGGATTAATTCGTAAGCTCTCTGTAACGTATTTCCTAAGGTTGTATTTCTATACAGCTGATAAGACATATTAACTGTATTTATTTACTAAACTAAATTCTCATGAATGGACGGCCATTAACGAATTCGTAATTTGTACAATGAAACAAAACTCCTGCCAAAGCCGAACTCGTGCAGTTGCAAAATGTACAAGTAAACAGTGTTGCACTATGCGACAAAAAAATTCGATGCAGTTTACAGGGGTTCAAAACCTAAAATTTACTGGAGGCAGATTTAAACTAGCGCACAAGAAAACATAAGATTGAAGTTTTTTTGGATGTTATTATTCATTATGAAAAAAAATTAATTAATTCGACTCCATTAATGGACTCACAATATAAAAGAACAAAAGAAGGAAATAGAACTCTAAGAATTGAATTAGTGGGAACAATGTAAAGATTATAAACTCTTACCTTGATATTTAAGAGTTTTTTAAAGTTTCCAGTAAATACGCGAAGTATTATATATACTGGATCATAGTGTAATGCCATCATAATAGTTTTTAAATGCAGTATTATGTTTTTTAAATAGTTTTAAAATAGTAAGCTTTATTTGCGGCAACAGCGTACTAACTAATTAAAACTATTACAATTATGTATTTAAAATGGCTAAATTCCATTCGTATCAATATCATTATCTTTAGTTCAACAGACATTGTTAGCTTATTTAACAGCTAATGCATCGACACTTATTTAAGATTGTTTAATTTCAAGAACAAAACGTGTCTTATCATTCAACTAAAAACATACAGAAGTAAGTACAATACATAACAATAGTAAGTACAATAATATAACAAACACATAATAATCCAATTTTGTAAGCCGTCTAAAAAACAATTAACCTATTATTGAAGTTATAATAATGTTTGAAAAATCATATCTGAATTATGACATGAATCAGATAATAATTAAACATTCAAATCATTATGTTTCATAATAATAATTTATTACACATTTTCTTATTTTATTATATTATATATATTTTATATTATATATATATATATATATATATATATATTCTAATGTTATAAGTTTAACTTTTTAAGATAAATTTTTTGAGTGTTTTTGTCCTGTGGTATGTATAATGTTTTTCTATGTTATAATTAATCTATACTGGTGTTTATATTAGTAAATAAAATTTTCAAATTGTTGTAGTTGCTGAATGATGACACGCATCTTGTGTCGAAACGTATAATTAAAAGTTTTTAATACTTTATACCTTTTTTATTTCGACGAATGGGCTGCTAGTTACTTTGATAATATATATATATATATATATTTCAGTAAATAAATAAATAAATAAATTCAGTATATATAACGACAGTAATAAATAAATAGAATTTATTTAATAAATTGTTTATAAAAAACTTTTTTTGTTTTTTATTACTTTTGGATTCTTGTTCGAAACTCTACAATATATTATATATATATATATATATATATATATTCTGATCGAATTAATTTAAAAGAAATCGAAATTTTTTTACTCATTAAATAATCAAAGTCAATTAGTATGTTAGAAATTGTTTTAAAGCCCCTGCAACTGGTTCGTTTCATATATAAGGCAAGAATATCGATATCAAATAGTGTTGTTTAACCTAACTTTTCATCATTATCAAATGAAGACTTTTAACAAGAAAAACATGTTCAAAGTATTATTTTCAAATACTTGTAGAAAGGTGCTGTGTTTACATGTAAATAATAACGTATTTTACCGCACCCTTCTAACAGATGCTTATAAATGTACAACATCATGGAATAATCGTCTCGCAACACAAATTTTGAATAATGTCAATCCTGACGAGCTTTATTATGAAATCGAAAATAACTTAGGACAGGATGGAAAGGCGACTGCAATAGATGTAGATATTTATGCCAATAGTGTTAACCATGTCGATCATTTAGAATCGTTAGCAGATTTATTGCATAAATTAAGGTTAAGTTCAGAAACCTCAAACGCTTTAGATTCAACATCACATGCAGTCATTCGACTCTTTCATGAATGCGATCAGCACGAGGAATTACTTAAAATATTAAATGACAGAATAAATTATGGAATATTTTTAGATCAATTTACTGCAAATATTTTATTAGATAAATTCATAGAATCCAGTGATTTCACATCAGCGGCCAAAGTAGCATCAATGTTGATGCTGCAAGAAGATTTTTCTAACGAAATAATAAATCCTTGTCGCTGCATGCATGCCTTCAATATATTAAAGATCCAAAGCCTTTTGAACCAGTTCCTGAAGTGGATGCAAGTGCCGAAGTAAAACCTCAAGGTAAAAAGAAAAAAGATGAAAAAAGGTTCGAGTAAAATTCTTGAGAAATGAATTTTTTTGATGATCATTTTGATTTGAGAGATGGTTCTTTATTAGTTGGTAAAACTTTACATATGATTGGGCAAAGTTTGGGACAAACCAAATTGGGTAACAGTTGCTCATTATTGGGACTGGTTTTGTACAAAAAATTTGAGAAAGCTCAAGATCTTATTCAAAGGATAGACGAAATTAATAAATCCTTGTCGCTGCATGCATGCCTTCAATATATTAAAGATCCAAAGCCTTTTGAACCAGTTCCTGAAGTGGAATGCAAGTGCCGAAGTAAAACCTCAAGGTAAAAAGAAAAAAGATGAAAAAAAGGTTCGAGTAAAATTCTTGAGAAATGAATTTTTTGATGATCATTTTGATTTGAGAGATGGTTCTTTATTAGTTGGTAAAACTTTACATATGATTGGGCAAAGTTTGGGACAAACCAAATTGGGTAACAGTTGCTCATTATTGGGACTGGTTTTGTACAAAAAATTTGAGAAAGCTCAAGATCTTATTCAAAGGATAGATAAAAATACAGTATATGATGAAGCAAGAGATCATATAAAACTGAATTGAGTACTGTTGAAGTAAATGAATCTAATCAGCAAATTCTAGAAGCACTTAAAAGCAGTGTTGAGGCGCTGAATGGTGGTTCAGGTTTATATGGGGAGGTTGATACCATTGTTAAGGATGCCATAAAAAATCAAGAACCTGTTGATATTGCAAATCAAGAGAAGGTAATAATAAAAGGAAAGTAAATGTAAATGTTTTTTAGCTTTTTGCAAATCAGGATATTTTGTTAAATACGAAGTGTTATCAAAAAGTTGTATTTTGAATTTTGATATTTGAATTAAGTTCTTAAATCTTATTAAGTTCTTCCTCTTAAGTTGTAACTCAAGAGTTTATATTATTCTTTGAGATTTGATTCACTGTACACTTAGCTTAGCCTTTGATGAAATGAATTTATTATGTAGAAGTAGTCAATCACCATTCTTATTATTTGAGCACTCAATGTAGAGATCACTACTTTTACAATTGACCCTAGAATAAATAATATTTTTTAAATGCTAAAGAACATTCAATAGAACAGAAATGGCAATATTGTCTACTTTTCTTCTTTTCAACTCTCTAATGTATTCCTATAATATTAAGGAGTCTGTTTTTGACTTTTTTTTATTCTTATTCGCCAAAATTTTTTCAATATCTCTTATTATAAATCACAGGTTCTTCTCGCTAATAATTTTTATCAATTTAATAATTGTTAGGTGCGAATAAGTTCAAAATCCAAAGTGCATATTAGTGAATTTTAATGAGGATTACAAAAAGAAACTAAACAACTAATTTATTATTCAATTACAGCTACATGAAGAATGGAATAAAATTCGAGAAGAAAAACTGCAAGAACAACTTGCTAGATACCAAAAAGCCAAAGTAATAGCACAAACAGAAAAACAATTAAAGGAATTGGAAGCTGAAGAAAGAAGACTATGGTTCTTCGAAAATGAAGAACAATTAGATTTAGAAATTGAAAAGAAACAGGTTTACTATCCAAAGAAATGGTTTGGTAAAAAGAAGAAGCCCAGAGCTATTGACCAAGATTACATACCACCAGATGTACAAAAAGAATTTTCTTAAATTATCAGTTTGTTAAAAATAAATAAATTAGACAAAATTATCCCAATCGTTTTTCTCAAAATTTTCAGGATTTTATGTGAGCAACATATTCATGTATTAAGATTAGTAATTATATTTGTACAATTCACAGGAAAAATGGAGATTATTTCATTAACATTAAAACAGTAAACAAGAAATAGTATAAATACGTAAAAAATCATCTAACATAGTATAAAATAATGTAATTACCATGGCAAGAATATCATTAACAAAGTCTGTATAACATTTTTCTTTGCATACGGTGTTGAAGTTCACCTCTCCTAATCATTGTATGAATAACTTTTAAAACAGCTCTTTCAGGATATTTTTGTCGAGCAAAATCTTGGACAATATTCATCTCAGAAACTTGTGATCCAATTGCAAATCTTCTTTTCAACTGCTTCTCAATACGATTTAATAAATCAGTTTCCTCATCTGTTGTGAATCCCTCAGCTCCTTTAAATTGGAAACATTAAAATTTGAAATATAATTATAAATTGGAAATAAATTAGTATGGAGTAATATCATTAAACATTTGCTCTTAATTGTAATATTCATGATCTTTGCATTGTATTTAACCATCATGTTCAGCTTTGTAAAAGAAAATAGTTATTAAATTTAAAGAAATAAAAATTCTAGTTGTAATCACGCCACAGAAAACAAATTTGTTGTGATATATATTTTTTTTGTGATTAACTTATATTAATTATGATATTTTGTAGAAATGAATTTGATATAGAATTTTAAATTAAAAATTTTGTACCTAAAAATTATTATATTATAATAATTTATAGAATTTGTTAAAGTAGGTAAACATAGTTACAATATGTTGCAAAACATTACAAAGTTTTTGCAAATTTTATTATTACCTGCAAGACTTCCTGACATAGCAGCATCCAGAGTTGAAACTTGGAATAATCTGAGAGCTTCGTTAACATGACTTTCATTGGCAAATGGTTGTAATTGCATTTTTGCAAGTGATTCAGATATTCTTATAATAGCTTCTAACTGCCTAAATAAATAAATTTAATTATAAATATATTTTCCAATTTCAGTAGTAAAAAGAAAACACATTCTTAAAACTGTAACATGCTGTTTTTTGAGAATAGTTGAAAATAATAGTAATTTAAGTTAATAACCATTTACCTCACTGTTATTGGAATGACTAATCTTTTCTCAGTTTGTTTTTCCACTTCTAAGGTACCAGATCTCATTAAAACATATCGGCTTCTTAATTTCTCACCAGCCTCAGCGCTCAGTCTTGGTCCACAGCGTGTTCGACAAAAATCTATGTACTTCTTGAGGAATGATAATGAAAATTCTCCTGTAAATAACAATTAAATTAAAAAAATTACTTAGTAAAAAGATGGGAATGAAAAAAATTTTTTGCTGTTATTGTCATTTACAATCACACAAATAATTAAAGATAACAAAGCTAATTTTATTTGTGTAAGAAAAATGTTTTGAGTGGTTAATAAGTTTTACTGACCTTCTTTTGATTCGGCTGATACTTTATTAGCACTTAAATGTACATTCATAATATGTTTGGCCAAAGTAATATCTCTGTTTTCATCATGTAAATCTTTTACTATGAAAATCATATCAAAACGAGACAAAATTGTTGGCATAAAGTCAATATTTTCTGCTCCTTTAGTATCATCCCATCTACCAAAATTTGAGTTTGCTGCAGCAAGAACTGAGCATCTGTGAATTATTAAAATAAACTTTATTAGATAATAGTTTTAAAGTTTAGATTACTGCACAAATAAGAAAAATATCAATTGTATAAGAACAACCAATCAAGTACTCACCTGCTGTTTAATGTTGTAGTAATACCAGCTTTTGCAATAGAAATTGTTTGCTGCTCCATGGCTTCATGAATTGCAACTCTGTCATCTTCCCTCATTTTATCAAATTCATCAATGCATACAACACCTCCATCAGCTAAAACCTACAATTTTTATAATACATTTGTTATTGTAAATAACCCTTGTTCTACTAATAAATTAACATAAGCATTTCATTAATATTTTACATTAAATTTCAAATAACTTCCTATCATACCATAGCACCACCTTCCATGACAAAACCTCTGGTAGCAGGATCACGCATTACGGAAGCAGTCAGACCAGCTGCACTAGATCCTTTGCCAGAAGTATACACAGCAATCGGTGCTACTCTTTGAACAAATTTTAATAACTGAGACTTAGCAGTACCAGGATCACCAAGGAGTAAAACATTTATATCTCCTCTGCGAGTTAAGCCATCAGGAAGGCGTTTCCTAGATCCACCTATATATAAACAAGAATATTGTATACTACATTACCAAATTGAAAGCTTTGAAACTTTAACTTAAAATGTTTAGTAATTTTCCTAGATTATTATTATTGAAGAAAGATTAATAATATTGATAAATTATTTTCAATTAAGGTGGTATTAAATTGAACTAGTTGGTATTGGTATTTTGCCTTAAGGCAAGTTACATGAACTTCCCGATATGTGTAAATAAATGACTTAATCAATAAAAAATAAATTAATTTATGACTGATTAAAAGTATTCCAAGTGGATTTATTACACATAATTGAAAACGAACGAACACGTTAACTCAGAGTATTTTCTAAAAGCAAATTTTAAAAAATCAATAATTTTTATGATTGAACCAGCTTCCCTAGGACTTTAATGGTTTAATAGGTTCATTAAGACCAAGTACTTTTCGTTATACCAAGTAAATCGTCTAATTTTAATTTTAACAAACATCAAAAAACTACTCATTTTCTCAACTTAGATGAATTTTTAGCTACTTCTAAGACCAAAAAAAGTTCCATAAAAATCGGCTTAATTTTTTTTCAGCAGTTAATTACAAGAAAACGACTCGGTAGATTTTCACCTAAAACTAATCAGTATCATTCCCAATATCTTTCAAACAGTTTTTAATTTTTTAAAATCGATTCGGTGGTATGAGCATAAATGTGGACGAAAAGTTTAACACTTTCTTCCAAATTACAAAGAAGCGGCTCGGCCGATCGCTGCACAGAACTGAGAAAAGATAATACACATCGAAATACATCGAATGGCTTTTGAAATTTTTGAAATCTGTTCAGGCGTTCTTGAGCAAACGTCGATGAAAGTTCTAATTTTGACAAAAGCCAACAAAACGATACCAATTTTTGCAAACTTTGACAAATTTTTAAAATTAAAAGACTTGTCGTAGGACCGTAATATTTTAGTATGACCTATAAGACTACGGTAACAACCGTAAAAAAAAAAAATAAAAATCATCGCAATTTTTTTTAGGACTTTATTACAAGAATCAGCACGATTCCCAACCAATATCTTTCGAACAGCTTTTCAATTTTTAAAATCGCGGGCTAAAACGTGGACGAAATTTTTTTCACTTTTCTGCGATTTAGAAAGAAACAGATCGGCCGATCGTCGCACAAAACTTAGAAACGCTAGTCGTTATTGAGATGCATCGAATGGCTTTTAAATTTTTGAAATCGGCCCAGCCGTTTTTGAGAAAACGTCGATTTACGGCAAAAAATCTATTCACATACACACACACACTCACACACACACATGTTCCAAATTTGGTCTCATTCGATTCAGAATGGCTTGAAACGTCGAGGAAACATAAAATTAGCGAATCGCATTTTTTATGAAAACAAACTTCTCCTTTGGGAAGTTAATCAAATCAGATCAATGAAACAAAAACAAATTCCATACATTTAAGTGAATTTTTTACCATTATTAACTTTATGAAGTAGAAGTTTGTCAGAAAATCTGATTTGATAATTTTAATTAAGTCATCAATTCAATCTGAATTGACTGGAAACCAAATATTAAAAAAATCAATCACCGACTCGGCCAATTTTTACCTTTTAGCGTGAAATTCTGAATCAAAATTCAAAGAAAGACATCCATAGGGACTCAGTTTTTTGGTAAAATCGTCCGGACCATTTTTTGATAGAGCACAGGCTCTAAAATATCGTAGGCCAACGACAAATGGTCCACTGTTAAAAAATTGCATTAAAGTTTCAAATAATAAGCCGCACCCTTAGAACATGCACTGTGTATGTTCTAAGCTGATCGTTCGTTCGCACTTTTACTTAAGAGTTTTTTTTTATATCTACAAAATACATACTTAAAAATTAAATCAACTTACCAAATAATAAGCAGGCAATAGCTTTCTTAATGTCATCACTTCCAAAAATACTTGGTGCAAGACTAGATGCAATTCGTTCATATACATCTGGGGAAGCAGCTAATCTACGGAATGTTTCTTCTTCTTCATTTGATGGGGCTCCACATCTTGACACAGCGCCTTGGGCATCAACAGAAATACCTAAAACTCTCATGTATGGTAATCGAACACCTACTGTAGCTTTTTCACGTCCATCTTGCTGAAGGAAACAAGTAAAAATTAGAACAATATATTTTTTTAAATGTTCTAAAAAATTTCTACTACCATGATCTACTTTAAAGACTTCTTTATTTTTACCATATTTATTACTATTTTTTTACTATTGTTTATATTTTAAAATTAGGAATTTTTTAGGATTCTATATAAATTCATATAAAATCTTTTATAGAAAAAATGTTGAACAAAACAAATATTAGAAACTGCAAGTGTGACTGAATTATACAAAGTACATAATTTTTCTTTACAATTGAGTTCTAAAATAAAGAGTTTTAATTACCTTGCTGGGTTTTCCAACTTTCTTAATACTGAATATTCCATGAATCAAAACTCGGTTACCTGGTACAACTCTTTCGCATAAAGATCTATCACAATATAATTGCATATGACGAGGAATTTCTCCCTGTAACAAAGGTCATGTTAAAACAATGTTAAATAATAATTAGTTATATGATATTTCACAACAAACAAAATGCTATTAGATATACCTGGGGTATAAAATCTGGCAATTCTTGTAGTTTTAGTACTTGAAAATCTACACATTTGCATTTATCAGGAATTATAAAGTAGGGATCTAGTGGACACTTTGGACGACCAGCTGCTTCACTAGAAAAAGAAATATTACATATAATAATGCAAATTATATTTTTATTTAATTAAATAATGATCTGCAGAAACATAATAGTTATAATATATAATTACGTTAGTTATACGTTATATAAAAAACTAGCAAACCCGACGAACTCCATTTCGCCACCAGATGGTTTCGTGAGAAAGATGATTTGTTTTATATTTGAAAAGGAAAAATTTGATTTTATTATACAACAGTAATGAATTTATTTCGATTACAAAAATGAAGTGTTTTTTAGTTGAACTTCTCTAAGTAAATGAAAGTGAATCCGCTAATTATCCGTTTCATTGAAGTGCTCTTTGGTAAACCACATTTTTTGTTTTCTGGTCTGACGTTAACACAAACAAAGCAGATGGTTTTCCAACTCGTGAACAGGCAACATATAACTGCCCATGTGAAAAACAATGATTTTCTAAATAATCTATTTGAAATTTATCCCGCCAACACTAAGCGATTGGCCTTGAGACTTGTTATTGCGAACGCAAGGCAAACTGGAAATTGCAATCGTCTGAAGTCAAACGGAAGACCAGTCGGAATCATTGGTATGTCAATCGCCAGCAATTTTTGATTGAATGGTGAAATTCAGTGCGTGTACATCATTATTCTTTGCGGAAAGAATTGCTCGTTGACTTAACCAAGCATAATTCTGATAATTCTCGCTAATGTCATTACTCGAATTTTTAATTACGGTGCGCGAAGTTCCAGCAGCTTGCATTAAGGCACGATGCCGTGCACAACTAATTTTCTTAGCTATAAACCTTACGGGGCCCGAGACCTTTCCAACGAATGCAAAATTGTCGAAATCGGTTCGTGCGTTCTGGAGTTATTTCGTCAGGAAGAAAAACCCGATTAATTTTTATATATATAGAAGATAATTTATTTGAAATTATTTAAAACAATTATTGATTATTTTTATTACTCGAATTTTTAATTACGATGCGTGAAGTTCCAGCAATTTGCATTAGGGCACGATGCCATGCACCACTAATTTTCTTAGCTATAAACCTTGCAGAGCCCGAGACCTTTCCAACGGATGCAAAATTGTCGAAATCGGTTTGTGCGTTCTGGAGTTATTTCGTCAGGAAGGAAAACTCGACTTATTTTTATATATAGGAGATAATATAATAAACATATTATTATAATACCAATTTTAAAATGAACAATCAAACATATATGATAACAAATGAGTTCGTTACATATAATTTTTTTTAAAATTAACTATTATTTATTGTATCATAAAGAAAAATTAATGTTAAACAATTATAGATGCTGCACGAAATCATTCAAAAGAAATAATGGATAACATAAACAAGATATTTAATCAACTTCCCTAAGGAAAAAATACCAAGTCGGATTTTCTGGCAAAAGCATAAACTTCTCCTTTGGGAAGTTAAAAATCAAATATTGTAAATAACACGAGCAATGATTAGAAATAGAAAATATTTACACACTTACGTGTTGCATTTGCGAGGTAATGCGTATCCTTCCAAACCCGGTTTGACGGGGAGATTTGGAATAACATTACTGCATGTCCTGCACTGGATCGAAATTTTGGTAGCCTTCGCCTTTATTCCGGATGCTGCCACAATGATGCCGGCTATTTTAACTAATTTTGATACAGAATCACTCTGAAATAATAATCAAAATTGGAATTAGTAACCATGAATTTAGAGTGTTCAAATATTTTTAACAATACTATCGAAATTTAGAAAGATGTAGGCGGCATTTTGCTCTAATCACCATGCGAAGTGTGATCTTTATCGAAAACTAAATCAGTGAAATTCTCAATTGATACTGTTTATTGATTTATTTGGCCTAAACTAGTACATTAGCCAAATTGATATCAAGCCGTTTCTATATAATTAACAGACAAGTGTAGAACTTTTCGTCTTGAACTCAAACCCATTTTAAAAATTCCAAAACTGTTCGAAAGATATTGATTGGGAATTGCGTTGAGTCGTAGTTCATTATGCTTATTGAAGTAAAACTTCCTTAGGCGCGATATGGGTGTAAAAATTTCTTTAGGCTACACGGGTGTAAATCCGTACAAATGCAACGAAAACGCCAATGTGAAGTTGAACACTACGACGCCGTAAGCGCTGATGTCGCGAGTATCCACTCCCGTCATGTCATGCGTAAGTCGAGCGCTAAACCCTATATGAACTTGCATTAATTGAATCACGTTTTTTTTACAAAAGAAGAGGTTGCTGTATTATGTCCTCATGGAATAAAACTTTTCTTAGAGAATACATGTGTCATGGAATATAATAAATTTATACTGAATCTCGTTGAAAACAAAATAATATCTACTGCCACGGATATTTATGTAGGTTGCCATGCGACAGATCAACAATCATACATTCGTCAGCAGTTTCACAAAAATCGGTTATTGATACCGGGGCTTTGCCGTATGAAATAATTTTAGTTCTGAATAGATTTTACATAATAACAACTAATATTGATGTAAGTGATGGCTTAGCTAATGGTTGTGTAGGAAAATTAGTGTACATAGAACGTGGCGATAATGATGAACTTCTACGTTTATGGTTTGAATTTCCTGGTAAGATAGGTAACAAAATAAGAAGAAAGCTGCACATCATATTCAAACTCTTAATATCAGTAGGACAGCTGTGCCGATTCTTAGGAGATCTTCATCTATTCCAATGAATAGAAATAAAATCATATTTGTCAAAAGAAATCATTTTCCTTTAGTGTCTGCTTGTGCACTCACAATACACAAATCACAAGGTGGTACTTTTGATAAAATTGTATATGAATACAATAAAACACATAATCAGCAGCTTCTATATGTTGCATTATCACGAGTTACCAGCATTAATGGATTGTTCATCATTTCAAAAAAATTTATCATGGAAGAAAACGGCCAGCAGGATTAATGAACTTAAAAACTGAATTCCAAAGACTTTCAACTTGTAGATTAATAACACAAGAAGAAAAATTGAGTGAGATAATAAGTTTGAACGACATTTTATTGTTTTCTTTTAACTGCCAAAGTTTACGAGCTCATTTGCCTGATCTGTAAGATAAAGTGCTACAACGTTGTACGTTTTTGTTATTTTCGGAAACTTGGATTAATAATGAAGAACGAATTGATATTCAGAACTATTACTGCGTTACCCAATACAAACGATCAAACTCAAGAGCAGGTGGTGTAGCTGTCTAATGCCTATCATTCATGTTCAGATACTCTTCATAATGCCACTCCTATGCAGTTTCTTGCGCCAACAATATTACTGGATATTCCTAATGAAATTACACATGTAGGTGATATTGCAGTTGTCCGCTGTGTGAACACTCAGAATCAAACATTAATTATAGTCGTCCTTTACATTTCTCCCAATAAAAACGTATCAAATATTATTAAATTTCTTCATCAGCAGTTACTTCATTTTTTTAATGAATTAATTGATTTTTTAAATAATAAATTTAATTTAACAATGAATAATTTTCCAATTGAATCAACCACAAGATATGGCACGACTATTGATGCAGTTTTTTCCAGAAATGTACATAGTTTACAAAGCAAAATTTATGTTTCTTATTTCAGTTATAAACAACCTATTATATCATATATGAAATATGATAGCAATTAATCTATCGCTGTTGTTTTAAACTGTGTTATTGATGTTATGTGATTATTAATAAATGATTTTTAAAATTCAAATATGTTTTTTTATTTTTATCTTAATTGCCTACTCATACAATATTAAAAGTTTTACTTCAATCGCGTGTGATCCTTACGCGCACTCTTTTTTTATCTATGTCGTGGTTTTTGGTAAAAATCGGATCGCCCGGAGTAACAAAATTTTGAAAAAATGTTTTTTTTCAAATGATTTGAAAGTCACGATTTTGATGAAACTTTGTAAAATCACATAGAGAATCTATGTCGATTCCAGTTGATTCGCTTAGCTACTGATTACAGTTGATGTTCGACTTAAATATTTAGATCACGAAATGGATTAAATGAAAAGTGTTAAACAAATTAATTTAACATATTATAAATATGTTTGAAAGACATCAATTGGAAATCGTATTGATTATTTTTTAGTGAAAGAGTACTTGCTTTAAGGCAAAATGCTACTTAACTTACAACTAGTTAACTTCCCGCAGGGTAAGTTAATAGCAAATAGTAATAGCAAAAAAATCGAAAATACATTTTCGTACATATCTTTAGGTTTTAAGGTCATCTGAACATTTTAGCATACCTTAGGCAAAATGGATGTGTGTGTGTAATTTTAATAATAAGAATTAATTTTCGTCGACGATTTCGGTAACACGGGTCAACCGATTTGAATAATCCAAAAAATAATTCGGTTCGTATTGATAAGGAGACGCGGAGGTTTTGGCAAATCTAGCCGTTTTGAAGATACGGGGCAAAAAGTGCCAAAAATGGTAATTGATTTTTTGAGAGAATGCAGCGTCCGATTTGAAAGATTCAAAAAACATTTGTATTGAAATGGAGAACTGATAAAATCTTTGGGAAGGAAAGGTCTAGCAATTCCATTTAGCGGACGAAAATGATTATTGGACATATGTATATCAAATTATCACATATTTTATAGAAATTTAAAAAATAAGAACAAATTTTGTTTATTTTTCCATGGGTTCAATACCAATGCTTGTTCGTTATACTGCAAAACGCGGCGCACACGCGCTTCTATATTCGTTTCTACGCAGCTAACTTATCGCGATTGCTTTAAAAAAGTTAAATATTACTAAAATATTTCAAAGTATAAAAAAACCAAATTTTCCAAAGAGGTCAAATTTTTTCAAATATCTCAGAAATCGATTTTTTTCAGAGTTCTGAAAGAAAATTAAATATTTTTTAAAAAATTGTATTTTTGGTACGGCAAGTTCCAGCAAATTGCCTTAAGGAGGTTTTTTTTTGTTACAAAACATGCAAGGTATTTGTTTTTGTTTTTCTCGAAATGTATTTATCATAAAGACATGCGGTTTTTTTTAAACAAAAATTACAAAATCATAGAATATTAAGAAATTTTTTATTTTTTTTGTTTCGCCGTCATTTTTTAACCAGGGGGCGCCAAAGTGGGCATTGCAAAATCGATCTCGTTTGCGGTGCCACAGATAAATCCGTTGCGCATCGCTTGAAACAAAAAAAAAAACGAAACTACGTTGAAGAAGAAGTTTGAATCCAGTCCTCCTACCAGAATGAAAGAAAAAAAGCAAGAAGGAAAAAAATGGCAGCCATTTAAAAAAAAGTGTCCAAAAAGGCCTTTGTTTTGGGACGAGAAGGTTCGCAAAATTTTTTTGCGTAATGTTATCAAGTTGTTTGAGGTAGGGGGACAAGGTATTGCAGTGGTGAACAAATTAAAAAAAAATGCAAGTCAATCCGACTTGTAGTTTTTATTTAATTTGTGGCACCGCATTGAAAAAAGTCAATTTAAGAAAAACGTATTTAATGTTTTTAATATAATGTACTAAATACACCATTTAATTTAATGTACGAAATACACTATGATGTTCAAAGATGCTGACACATTAAAAAGGTCATGTGCATGAGGTATTATAATGAAAAAAGAGTATGCAGCTGGCATACAATAGCTCGCGGAACGATAAAAAAACGCTTTAAGAGGATCATACGTATAGAGATATATATATCTATAACTTCTTCAAAAAATATGTATTGAGATGATTTTTTTTTTTAAATAATTCTAAGGTTTTTAGCTTTCATAATATCAAAAAATCTCAAAACCGAAACAAAAAAATATAAAAAAAAGAACAACCCCCTTAAGGCACTATGCCATGAACTACTAGTTTATTTGGCAATAATTCAAATAGATAAATTCTGTTATTTTTGTTGACTGATTATAATTGGTGTTAAGGTGCGTCCACACCTAACGAACGAACACGAACGAACATAAAAAAACGTACCAGAACGAACGGCAACAGCATAGTGTGGACGCCACGACGATCACGAACGAACATAAACAAACATGGCGAGCAATGTTCCGCAACTTGTCGGTACATCAAAGGGAATTGTTCGTTCATGTTTGAACTCGTATGTGCAGTGTGGACGTCTCAACGAACGCAAACGAACATTTTTGTTTTAATAATTTTAATAATTTAATAATAATTTTTTTAAATTTAATAATAATGTTATTAATTTTAATGTTTGAAAATTTTAATAATATTTACTTTTAATTATTGTGTACAGTTTGAAAATTTTGAATAAATTATGGAATGGTCAAATGACGTAATTTCATCATTCATAAATGAAATAGAAAAGTTTCCTATAATATGGGAGACTAAAGACCCTTTTTATAAAATTATTAGAAAAAAAAACGATGCTTGGGAAAGTGTAGGCAAAACGTTTGGGATGTCAGAAGCTGCAGTAAAGAAGAAATTGCAGTCATAGATAAAAGAAGAGTATGATTGCAGTCTTTACAAGTAAATATCAAACTTGTTATCATACATAGACATTCAACATATATGTTGAGGATGAGAGTATGAAAATTGAGTATAGTTAGCTCAAGCCTGGAATGTTCAGCTTGCTCCAAATATGAATGCTGAGAAAAGAAAACGACTCAAAATATAAATATTAAATACAAAAACTGAGTGAAATTAATTGAATAATTTATTTACAGTA